AATAGTTCATTTCCCTTTATTGCTGAAAATTCTATTGTAGATATATCAATTGCTTATCCATTTGCCTGTCTTCATATGGCTATAATGCTCCTATGAACATCCTTGGTCTTGGCTTCCCTTCCTTTTCATTCCATTCGATATTTACCTAAGAGTCAAATTACCAGATCATATGGCAATTGTACATTTAATTTTTAAAGTACTCAAATAATTTTCCAAAGTGGTTATATTACTTTACTTTTTTTTGGGGGGGGGGGTTAGGGTCTCACTCTGTCACCGAGGCTGGAGTACCAAGTGGCGCAATCTCGGCTCACTGCAAGCTGCGTCTTCCCTGTTCACGCCATTCTCCTGCCTCAGCCTCCCGAGTTGCTGGGACTACAGGTGCCCACCACCACGCCCCGCTAATTTTTTTATTTGTAGTGGAGGCAGGGTTTCTCTGCGTTAGTCAGGATGGTCTCAATCTCCTGACCTCGTGATCCCTCGTGATCCCTCGTGATCACCTCGGCTTCCCAAAGTGCTGGGATTACAGGCGTGAGCCACCGTGCCCAGCCTACATTCTTACAAGCAATGTATGAGAGGTCTAGCTGCTCCTTATCCTTCCCAACATGTGGTATTACTCTCATCAATTTTCCTCGTGCTGTGTGTTTAGTAGGATCGTCTTGGGTTTTAATTTACATTTCCCTGATGGTTAATAACATTGAGCATTTTTATATGTATTTAATGTTCCATTGATCTACACGTCTGTTGGCACACCAATACCACACTGCCTCAATTAGTGCCGCTTTATAGAAAGTCTTTAAATCAGATGTGTAAGCCCTTCAACTTTGTTCTTAACCACAGTATGTCTTCCAATCCATAAACTTGGTACATCTGTCTATTCAGGTCTTTAATATGTCTCAACAGTATTTATAGTTCACTGTACAGAGGTCTTTTATATATTTCATTAAACTTTTCCCTATTTTTTTTTTTTTTAAGACGGGGTTTACTATCTTGCCTGAGCTGCACCTGAACTCCTGGGCTCAAGTAAGCCTCCCACCTCAGCCTTTAGAGTAGCTGGGACTATATGCACATGCCAGGGAATCCAGCTGCTTTTTGATGCTCCACTAAATAGTACTGCTTCAGTTTCCAATTGTATATTGCTAGTATATATAAATAATTGATTCTTATATACTCACCTCATATCCTCTGGCTATTCTAAATTTATTAGTTCTAATAGTTGTGTCGATTTCTTAGGAATTTCCAGGTACACAGTTATATCATCTAGAAATAAAGACAGTTTTACTACTTCTTCTCAAAGCTGTCAGTCTTTTATTTTTCTTGCTGCCTTGTAGTAATGTTGCCAGTGCAATGCTGAATAAAGGTGGTTAGGACAGACATCCTTGCCTTGCTCTCAACCATTAAGTATGATGTTGGCTGTGGGTTTTTCACGATTCACTTCACCAGGCTGAGAAAATTGCCCTTTATTGCTTGTTTAGAGAGTTTGTATAATTAATAGGTGTTAAATTTTGGCAAATGGGTTTTCTGTAACTGCTGATATAATCACCTAATTTTTCTCTTTCACTCTGTTGATATGGTGAATTACTTGATTCATTAAACTTATCTTCATGGGATTTAAAAAAAATTGGTTATGGCATTCTACCGTTTATACACTGCTAGATTTGACTGCTAGTTTTTTCGTTTTGCTTTTTTGTTTTTTCATTGTTTTTGTTTGTTGGTTTGTCACCCAGGCTGGAGTGCAGTGGCACCATTACGGCTCACTGCAACCTCTACCTCCCAGGCTCAAGCAATCCTCCCACCTCAGCCTCCCAAGTACCTGGGACTACAGGTGCATCCCACCATGCCTGGCTAGTGTTTTGTATTTTTTTTTGTAGAGACAGGGTTTTGCCACAGTGCCCAGGCTGGTCTTGAAGTCCTGAGCTCAAGAAATCCACCTGCCTTAGTCTCCCCAATATAGAAATGGGGGTCTCCTGTGCGGCTTAGGCTGGTCTTGAACTCCTGTCCTCAAGTGATCATCCTGCCTTGGCCTCCCAAAGTGTAGGGGTTACAGGTATGAGCCACCACACCAGGCCCAATACTTCTCTTAATATTAAATTATTAAATTATCAGAATATATTTAAGTCATATTTGGTAGTTTGCATTTTTAAATATATGTCTACATTTTATATATTTATTATTTTGAAAAATAATTTTTGCAACTATACTCATTATAGTTTACTATTTTGTGACATTTTCAGAAATAGAATAATCCTAATTGTATTAAATGTATTACTTTTATAATCAGGGGAAAAGTTACAAAGAAAGCCTAAAAATAGTGATAATAAAACTCCAGATACCTACCACTTTTTAAATATTTATTTTTTTCTTCAGGTTCTGGGACTCTGATTTTTGACCTGACAAAATTTTGACAGGTCAGTTTTCATCCCATTCTACATTATAGAATATATATACTATTATACATATACTATTTTATATATATATGAATGAAACATTCCTGAAAAGCTGCTCCTAAGACAAAAATCTATCTTTCAAATACCACCATCCTCAAATCTCCCTTTGTAAAATCAAACCATGTTTCCAGCATTAGTGGCTTTTCTCTCTTCCTGCAATTCTCTTCCCCTAGATATTTCTATTGCCCCACCCCTCACTTCATTTAGCTCTAAACTAAACTTCACCATTTTGGTGAAGCCTTCCTTGGCTGCCCTAATTAAAGTACTCCCTACCAAGTTCTCTATCCAGCTCTAGTCCTGAATTGTTTTTCATAACATTTATGAAAAATTTATCCCTAGTGCCTAGAAAAGTAGTTGATAAGACAGTTAAGTGGTGAATTAATATTTGTCAAAGGAAAACATGAATGAAAATAAGTGGCCACTTACGTAGCATAAACAAAAAACTCCCCAGAATAGTTTGCCCTACTATCTTGCTTGAGCTGCACCTGAACTCCTGGGCTCAAGTAAGCCTCCCACCTCAGCCTTTAGAGTAGCTGGGACTATATGCACATGCCAGGGAACCCAGCTGCTTTTTGATGCTCCATTAAATAGTACTGCTTCAGTTTCCAATTGTATATTGGCCATACTACCTGACATGCTCATTAAGGATATAGTCTTCTTCTGACTTACTTTATAAAATGTGATCACCCTATAAGACTACCACATAAATCACTAGTCAATAATAACTTGGTAAAGTCATTTCATTTATGAGATTCTTTCTTCCACAATAATAAGTTCTCCTGGCTGTGAACACTGAGGTTCCATGTAAAGAAGAAAAATACAAGAAGTATTCCAGAAACAAACTGTTTGTCCTCATTTCCCCCATATTAATTATACCTTTTAATCAACACAAGGTAAAGATATTCTGCCTGTTGTTTTTGGTGACTCCCCTCACAGGGTTAAAACAGAGCAAAACTATATGGCAGGAGACAGCATTCGAGGAAAAAGCAATGTTTGGTCTGGGTAATCTAGGAGGGGATGGCAGTTCCCCAATCCCTAATGTCTTCAGTGAGTCATTCCTGGAGGTGATCATACAGAAAGTGAATCTCGAGGGAAGAAATAAGACATTGACTATGGGAAGAAAGTATGTTCTGTAGCTGTGGCTTCTCTTAATGGACTTTGCACCAGTTTTGGATTTGAATACAAAAGACACACAAGAGTTTTTGAGTCCACTGAGAAAAGAAAAGGAAGACCTTCACTATCCTATTCCCAGTGAATTTGCCCACAGCTGATCTGGATCTTAGAAAAATGAGCAGACACCAAGGAGGCAAAAAAAAAAAAAAAAAAAAAGAATCCAGACTACAAAACACAGAGACTGATGTCCTAACTTGTTTCTCAAGCATGCCATTATACCGTTATACTGTTAGCAAGCACGAGTAACGCAGCATCTTTCACAGAAAATACAGAAAACAGATTTTTTTAAAAAAAAATATAGAAAACTCTCCATTTCCCCACCTCAGCTCTGAACAAATATTATCGGTTATTATGACAGCACTATTGAATTATAATTTAGACTCATATTCACTCTTTTTTTTTTTTTTTTTTTTTTTTTGTTTTTTTTTTTTTTTTTTTTGAGACGGAGTCTCGCTCTGTCGCCCAGGCTGGAATGTAGAGGCGCGATCCCGGCTCACTGCAAGCTCCGCCCCCCGGGGTCACTCCATTCTCCTACCTCAGCCTCCGGAGTAGCTGGGACTACAGGCGCCCGCCACCGCGCCCGCCACCACGCCCGGCGAAGTTTTTATATTTTTAGTAGAGACAGGATTTCGCAGTGTTAGCCAGGATGGTCTCAAATGCCTGACCTGGTGATCCGCCCGCCTCGGCCTCCCAAAGTGCTGGGATTACAGGCGTGAGCCACCGCCTCCGGCCCCAATATTTACTCTTTACTGAATGCTGAGAATTGAAGCCAGGACCTGGAAGCCCCTATATTTCTAGTACTGTTATTTTTTATTCTCATCTAATTCTTCAATGTTATCAGTAACAAAATAACCAAATATGCTAATGATTCAAAAATTCTACTTGCATAAAATTTCAAAACCTGAATTCATTTTCTGACTATCTAAATTCATAAGTGTTTATATGAGATTAAAATACAATGGATCTCCACACTGATTAAGATATAAAATAATCAAGAAACAAAGATAATAAGTAAAGTAAAGCACATACAAAATTCTAACTTAGAATGAATCTAATTTAGGTATATACCTACATCATAATCCAAGACAATGCGTTTTATCAGGGATTTAAATTTAAGTCTCAACTAATATTATAGTGTTCTTTCCATTTGTTTCCTCCCTCCAAGTTCATTCTAATATATGTATGTTCCAACAATTCACGTGAGCCCTGCAGTACCTTCCTTGACCTTCTATTACCTAAATTATAAGGGTACACGACATGTACATGTATAATTTCATGCTTTGTACATTTCTACTCTCAAATATGTTTCCTATTAATTTCAAAATTAGTTCATGCACAAATTTCTATGAAGAAAATAGAAATGTAATTCATTGAATGCCTAACCTCTTGATTTTCTACTCCATTGCTGGAAAGCTCCAAAATAGTACCTCCACTGTCAACCACTGCTGATGTCATTGTTATTCCCTGAGGAAGCTTCAAACGCTATTAATCAATGAAATTAAAGGTTCATTGATGGTTGCCAGTGTTATAGGTTTGCATTATCATGTTTTAAAAGTCAATAGAGATGGAGTGCAGTAGATATCCAGAAATCCAGTCTTCTAAAGATGATTAACCAGAGACCCTAAAAAGAGGAAGAATTTGAAAAGTTATCTTAAAAATTACAGGAAGGACATAAAGTGTAACTTATTTTGCAATCTAATTTTAACCCTGAACTAAGAAAAAGAAGATAGGCTTCTATATCCCTGTGTCAAAAGAGGGCAGCAATGAACATTCTACCTCTTAAGAGTTAGTAATCAAGTTCATGAACATACTGAATAAGTTCTTAACAAGCAATTGTACATAGGTAGTATTATGATATTCATATTCTAGGAAATAAAATGTTATAATTGTGCCAGGCACGGTGGCTCACACCTGTAATTCCAGCACTTTGGGAGGCCGAGGCAGGCGTATCATGAGGTCAAGAGATCGAGACCATCCTGGCCAACATGGTGAAACCCCGTCTCTACTAAAAATACAAAAATTAGCTGGGCGTGGTGGAGTGTGCCTGTAGTCCCAGCTACTCAGGAGACTGACGCAGGAGAATCGCTTGAACCCAGAAGGCAGAGGTTGCAGTGAGCCAACATCGCATCACTGCACGCCAGCCTGGCGACAGAGCGAGATTCCATCTCAAAAAAAAAAAAAGGTTGTAATTTTCTCCCTTTATAAAGATGTTGTTTTATTCCTGAAATATGTTAGTTTCTAGAAATGTTAAAGATCTCTTATTCATTTAATACATAAAATGTGCCAGACTGAGAAAACGTTGAATCCGATTTCCTATTTAACAAATTAAAAGATTATTGATTCTTAAATATTTCATTCTTCTTCTTTGCCTCATCTGGTTTGTTTGTTTGAACAATCAGAACTGTCTTTTGCTTATGGCAGCAATCTCATTTTGTATTCACACTTTGAATACACTATGAATCCAGGAACTGTATGTAAGACAGATTAATTTGAATTGCTTATATTTTCAAATAAAGTAGTTTAAAATTAAAGTAGTTACCACTTGGAATGCCTTTGATATTATTTTATCATACTTTCCTCAATTGTTTTGATATTAGTTCTATCATACTTTTCCTCAATTGTTTTGATATTAGTTCAAGATGCAATATAGCAAATGGTTTCAAGTAATTTCTTAACCTCTTACATTTTTTTCCCCTTCCTACATCATCTGGATTTATGCATTAAATTATTCCTAAAAAGTTACTTTTTATTTGATTTCATTTATGCGAAAATTTTCATACAGAGGAAGTATGGAGATTTATTACTAACAGAATTTTTTCATGTCAAAAAGAATGCAGAAAAATCGAGCATATCTGAAGAGAAAGTATATAGTTCCCATAAATCATTCCATTAATATTATGCCCTTGTATTATGTTTGCCTGCTGGCATCATACAGATATGGAAATAAAACAATAAAGAATTTCCAGAAACTTCTAGAAAAATGAAATACCTGAAAAAAAGCAGAAATTTCATCCTACTGATCAGTACTATTAGCCTCCTTTTTGATCTTATAAACATAAAATGGAAGAGAAAGTCTTTGTATCTTAAGAAGAAAAATTAATAAAATTCCACAGTCCCATCATGCTATCACCATATAAGGTAATATAAATAACTATTCCCAATATATATAATAATAGCAAAAATAAATGTTACTTACAGTTTGTATGTTAAGTAGTCTAAGCATCCTTCACTGTTTTCACAACTTCGGAAGAGCTAAAATCTGAACCAGTAGTTCTTTGGAACTACCAGCGGGAGGGGAAAAAAGACAGTATTAATATAATTATATTAAAAAAGCACTAAGCTCAAATAGATGTGTCTGAGATAGTAAATACTTAATAAAACAAATCACTTCCAAAGCCATATGTCACACATTCATATAAGGAATATAATAAATTATTTCTAGGTTTTTGAGAAATCAGAGCTTTTCTCAAACTTTAAATTTTAACTCACCACTACATAACAACTATTGAGTGAGGACAGAACCAACGTATGAAGCCTATGCTCCGTATTATGGGCTGTATTTCAAACAGGTTCTTGGGTTTTTTTTCCTCCATTGGGCAAGTTCTAATAACAGGTTCTTACTAAGTGGCTACAGGTATAACCTCTGCTCCCCAGGAGTATAAAATCAAGTTTGAAAAATAAGACTAGCCCAAAAAACTACTATCAAACAATGTTTAAGGAAAAAAAATTTTTAGAGTTGGGGTCTCACTCTTGTCACCAAGGCTGGATCACAGAGGTGAGATCACAGCTCACTGCAGCCTCAAATTCCTGGGCTCAAGCTATCCTTCTGCCTCAGCCTCCTGAGGAGCTGGGACTACAGGCATATGCCACCATGCTCAGGTCAGTATTTCTTATTTTTAACTTTTATTTTTAAAGATAAGATATTGCTATGTTACCCAGTCTGATCTTGAACTCCTGGCCTCAGGTGATTCTCCCACCTCAGCCTCCTGAGTCACTATTAGACATGTTCCTGCTATCTCACCCCACCGACTTAGCATCAGCACCCATCCAAACATCCCAAGCCCTACTTCTAACTCCCAAGCCTCCTCAAATAGTCCTCCTTCTTTCAAAGGCTTAAAGACTTAAGCACTTGACTTAAGCAATTGACTTAAGCACTTGATCGTAGGCCTTGCTCCATCAATTATTCCTTTTTCCTTAACCTTCTCTTACTACCATTGGGCTCCTTTCCCTCAAAATATAAGCATTTGCAAGATCCTCTCATCTTAAAAGTAGAAAAGTTGACTGGGCAAGGTTGCTCAGGCCTGTAATTCCAACACTTTGGGAGAGGGAAGCGGGAGGATCACTTGAGCCCAGGAGCTCCACACCAGCCTGGCCAACATAGGGAAACCCCTGTCTCTACAAAAAATAAAAAACTTAGCCGGGCCTGGTGGTGCAAACCTGTAGTCCCAGTTACTTGGGAGGCTGAGGTGGGAGGATCACTTGAGCCCAGGAGGTTGAGGTTACAGTGAGCCGTGATCCTGCCACTGCACTCAAGCCTGGGTGACAGAGCAAGATCCTGTCTCAAAAACAAAAACAAAGGAAAAGTCCTCTTCCATAATCCTGCATACCCTTCCAGCTACTGCTCCAGTTCCTTCCTTTCTCAGGTAAGTTTCTAGATAAGAAATCTTTTATACTCTGTCTCCACTTTCTAATTTCTCAAGTACTCCTCCTTCTATCAGAGTTTGGCATCCATCCCCACTCAACTGAAATTTTACTAAATTCCGCTTGTAGAATCCAATGGATACATTTCTCTCTTCATAGGACTTGATGCCTCTGAAGCATCTGACACTGTTAATCACTCCCTTCTTGAAACTCTACCTTGAATTTATCTTTTCCCTCTCTGGCTACTCCCTTTCAATTCCCCCTTGCAGGCTCAACCCTCATTTTCAAGGAGCCTGGGACAAGAGTACAAATGGAAGCCTACATACCATGTGTCTAAATATTTTTTAAAGTTCTAAATCAAGCTGTTAAATTATTATTCCCTCCTCCTATCTTGACTAATAACAACCTGAAAGGCCAAGTTCTATTTTTGAGTTCTCAGGCTCCCTTAATGTTATGTAGGGACACAGGAAGGAAAGTCCATACCCCTTCCCCTTGTCTGCAGCCAACTCCTTTTCTCTTTCCTCCTTTAGCTCCACTTTATACTACGAAGGACTTCATATGCACACATATATAAAGCCTACAGCTCTGGTCACATGACTGCAAACAGCTGCTCCTTGGCCATCCCTTAAACACAGGGGATCCCATATGTGTTATACAGTCAAGAGAGGAGAGAATAAGAGAAGAGAAGAGAGTTGTGAAGGGACACATGGGCAGGAAATTCTAAGATCAAATATTCAAAGATTGATCTAGAAAGAGACCAGGTAGACTAGTCACCTTGGCCCCCACAAAGTCTTCACTCCATGGGCAGGGGTGTAGCTTCTGGAGGAAGACCATATGAGGACCTTTAAAGCATAGGTCTTTTGTTCCCAGTTGGCAAAGTCTTAGGACAGTGCTGCTCTCTGGTCAACCCTTACAGGTGGGTGTTTCCAAGATCCCATCCCTAGTCCTTTTCTCTTCAGATTGTTTACACTCTTTCTAAGGTATGAAAACTCCTACAGCTTCACTCAAATCTCTCTTCCAGATTTGCCTACTAGATGTTTTATTGCCTCTACTTCACTGAAATTAGATTAAGATATACATAAACACTAAGCATTGATACCAGGATAACCCAAGCACTCCACTCATGAATTCAATCACACAACAAATACTAAATGAGCACTATTATACGATAGCACAATTTTAGGTGCCTGGGTCCAGTAGTGAATAAAGGCAAAGTCCCTGTTTTTATGGATCTTATATTACAGAGGAGAGAGAAAAAAATAAAATAGTATACCATACGTGTAGATGATGCTGAAGGCTAAGGAGTTAAATTAACCAGAGACAGGGATTATATGGCAGGGAGAGCTGCCAGTTCAGATTGAGTGGTCAGATAAGGACTCACTAAAAAAGTGACATATGAGCAAAAACCCAAAAGTAGAAGTGAGTTGTGGCAATGCCTGGGGGAAGAGCCTTCTAGTCAAAAGAAATTCAACACCCTCAAGAGGATGTATGCCTGACTAGTTAAAGGATGAGCAAGGGGACCCAATACAGCTGAAGTGAAGTGAGCAAAAGGAAGAAAGAATAGTTGAAGAGGACAGAAAGGGAAGGGAAGGGAGCCAAGTAGGTGCCCTGTGAGGACTCTGACTTCAGAGAGAAGGAAGGTTTTACACAAAAAGATGATCTGATTATTATAAGGATCATTCAGATGCTGGGTTGAGAACAGACAAGGGGACAAGAGCAGAAACAGGTGTCAGTTAGCAGGCTACAATAATATATGTTGTGCAAAAGTAATTGCAGTTTTGCCATTACTTTTAATGTAATGCAAACTACTTTTGCACCAACCTATAATTGAGATGAGAAGTGATACTGGCTGGGACCAGAGTGGTAGTTCTGGAGGTAGTGAAAAGTGATCATAGCCAAGCATGATGGCACACCCCTTTGTCCCAGCTACTCAGGATGCTGGGCAGGTTGAAGCTACAGTGATCCAAGATCTCACCGCTGCACTCCAGGTTGGGCGACAGAGTGAGACCCTGTCTCAAAAAAAAAAAAAAGTAGTCAATCTTTAGATATATTTTGCAGATAAAAGGATGACATATACAAGCAAAATTGATGTGGATTGATTAGTATGAGAGAAAGAAAGAAGCCAAGAATGAATCCAGGCTGGAGGATTCTCAGAAGATGATGGAGTAGGATATACCAGGAATCTGTATCCCTATCTAGACAACAATTGCACTGGCAGACTCTACCTAATGTAATTATTTTGGAACTCTGGAAGATACCAAAGGCTTGCAACCTCCAAGGGAAGGCTTGGACAATAAATTGTGGTTAATTTCGGTCATTCTAGCTCTCAGCACAGAATCAGCTACCCATCCCCCAACTCGAGGGTAGACAGCTGTGCATGTGTTCCTGGAACAGTGTGCATGCAACTTGTGAGGGCCATGGTAAGCAAAAAGGACTATTTTCCAAATATCAGGGATCTGTGCTCTGATCACTGATTATTGCTTCTGATCACAGAGGAGCACACAAAGAAATGAGTAGATGTTATTGTTAAGCCTCTCCCCCTCTGGCTGAAGTCACTTCTAGGGGACTTAAAAGGCCAGCAAACCCCATTTTACTCTTTTTTTCCCTTTTGAGAGCCACACATTAAAGACTAGGACATTTGGCTGGGCGCGGTGGCTCACATCTGTAATCCCTGCACCTTGGGAGGCCAAGGTGGACAGATCACTTGAGGTCAGGAGTTCAAGGCCAGCCTGGCCAACATAGTGAAACCCCGTCTCTACTAAAAATACAAAAATTAGCCGGGCGTGGTGGTGGGTGCCTGTAATCCCAGTTACTCGGGAGGCTGAGGCAGGAGCTTGAGCCCAGGAGGCGGAGGTTGCAGTGAGCCAAGATTGAGCCACTGCACTCCAGCCCGGGCAACAGAGCAAGACTCTGTCTCAAAATAAAAAATAAAATAAAATAAAGACTAGGACATTCAAAAACTATATATATGGAAAAATGTGTAAAGTGACCACACAAGCCCAGGCTCAGAAAAGACCTGAGAAGACCTTAAATACACCTTAGGCTGATCCTTGCCACAAAGTCAGCCTACAAAAATTTAAATTTTAATTAAAAAAAAAAAAAATCCCGCCCTCCCGAAGATGGCAGCTGGGAGGTAGTGTTGGCATGCCTCTCCCACTTGGAAAGAAAAAATAGTGGGTAGAGACTCAAACTGTGAACTTTTTTCAAAGAAGCAATACAGGAACTTAACGGAAAAATGGAAAGAAACCACAGATCCTTTGAAAGAAGGGGCGGGCTGCAGTCTACACCATGAGCCAGGTAAAAAACTGTAAGTTCCCAGAGTATGAGAGGGAGAGAAATTACCTCCAGAGTATACACCCCCACTATGAAAACTGGAAATCCAGCCCACAGGAGAAGGCCTTAACCCCACCCAGTGCTCAAACTGATATAGGGAGCGGTGGAGAATATACAAGTAGGACCAGGAGCAGGAAGAGCCTTTTGCGTATTCCCAGTCTCCAACGCAAACCAAGGGAAGCTATTCCTGATTCTGTCACAGAGGAGTTCAAAGTTCTGCCAACTAACTCAGGCAGTGGTTGCAGGTTGAAAGAAGCCCCCAATTTGAAATTCAAAATATAATCTCCAGTGGGGATGAACTGCCTTG